GTTGTATTGTTAGAACTTTTGACCGGAAAAAGAGCCTTATCCAAAACTAGTGAAAACGGGGACATGCCAATGAGTGTTGTCGACTTTGCAGTACCAGCAATCATGGCTGGAGAATTGAACAAGATATTGGATCCCCGAGTTGGGCTGCCAGAGTTGACGGAAGCAGAGGGAGTCGAATTAGTGGCATACACTGCAATGCATTGTGTGCATTTGGAAGGAAAACATAGACCTACAATGACTGACATTGTTTCTAACTTAGAGAGAGCTTTGGCTGCATGTGATGATAGCCATGACAGCATCTCTAGTAGTCCAGACTCCATTAAATCAGATTGACATTCCACGTATATGTCCGCGAAAGACTCCCACCAGTATCAGTAGACGATACGTTTTGGTAGTTAGAATAGTACGATTCGTGTAACAATTTGTTGTTAGTGTAAACTGTAAATTATCGATAGCCGGAATGAAGTTCTTTTCTTCCAAGAAGGATACAATCTTCACTATGTTGTGTTTAGCATCTTCTTGATTGGAGTAATTGACTTGTTGCCATTGTTGTTCTTTTTTTGTAAAGATGGCTAATGCACAAAAATCCAATTGTTGAAAAGACAATTCAAGAGCAATAGCAGCAAGCCAAAAGGCAAGTTGTACATAGGAGAATGTTTCAATCTTGAAATTATTGAACCTTATAAGTTATCTCAGTAAATGAATTTGTTATTTTTCAAAAAATGACGGCGGTGTTTGAATCAGCTTAACATACAGAGAGTACTCCTATCTTCTACTACCACAGATATGTCATATTTGTTAAATCTTAGGGTTGGATGTATAGATGTCACGGGTTCAGCTGATCTCAATAATTTTAGCTTAAACTTTTTATGTATTCAAAAACCTATTGAATATACAACAACAGTATATTCGGTGTAGTCCAAACCTTATCCCTATCTCAAAAGGTAGATAGGTTGTTATTGATACTCTCGATTTAAGAAAAAATAGTCCAAAAAAAGGTAATAGAAGTGAAAGCATAACAAAGCCAAATATTACCATAATCGAAGTAAAAAAAAACCCAGAGAAAAATAAAAATCGAAGGATAATAAACTACATCATGAGCAATACTGCAATTACTAGTATGGAAAATATAGGACAACACACTACTACCCTAATTCATGTCCTACACAATAACACAACTTTCTATCTTAAAGATATATTCTTAGTGAGCTGATATTATGTCAAATCTTATTTGATCGCCTCTTCTCAAATCTACCGAGTATACAAATCCTAAACCCCTTTTTAGTAACGATTTAGGTACGAATTTCATATTGTTAAGAGATATAATCATACATTACCAAAAAGAAAAACGTGAAGTAATTTTATACTCCATTAATTCGTATCCTCCACAGATTTCCATGTCATGAGATGATGGACTAATGTAGTAGACAATAGTAATCTACAAGTGGTCCAAGATTTTAAATTTTTTAGTTATTTTAACAAATTATTAATTATTTTTTATTGGTTGAGCAGAAGTAGATGATAAATATTGACTTTGAACATTCTATTAAAGACAGTCACTAGAAAATAGGGCATGATGTAGCTCTTGTGGACCAAAAATTGCCTTTAGCCCCTTTTGGATAAATTATATATCAAAGTTGATGACTAATAGTAAACAAAAAAGAAAAAAAATACTTTTTTATTTTTAAAAAGTTAATGACTAATTGATTTTAAAATATTAGTCAAATTCATATAAGTTTGACTCGTAAAATAATATTGTTTCTTAAAATTAATACTCTAATATGTAATATTAATGCAAAGTTCATTTTTTTTTTGCAAAATTGATGACTAATAATGATGTTGGAATTTGTCAATGACCGTTTGGCCATGGATTATTAGTTTTTGTACTTTAAATTATTTAGGTAATAAATTAATTAATGATGTTAATTAATCATTTTAACGTGTGGAAGAAGGTAAAATTAGGCTACGTTATTATTAATGGCGTTAATCATTTTAATAAGCAATTGAAGGATTAATGTCAAGAAAGAAGCATCTTATAACAACGTAACACTCCGTCCGTTTACTTTTACTTGTCAGATTTCATTATTTAAAAGTCACATTGCAACTTATGTTATTTATCATATAGTTTTTAAATATTTAAATTTAAAATATTGAATTATTTTAATTATGAAGATTAATGATTTTAGCTCCAAAGATTAGTCATCAACACTAATTACCAAGAGCAAAAATATTTCATGCTAGAATAATTAGTGCAGTGTATATGAGACATACTTCTATTCCAATTCATAATAATTAATAACTATTTTCCGTTTATTTTTAGCTGTCATAATTTTTTTCATTTTTAGAGTTAAATGATTAGAATTTTTATTAATATTTTACGATATATTTTTCATTATATTGATATACAAAAAGTTACAATTTATCTTACTTTTCATTTAATTTTTAAATATCTAAATTTTTTATTTATGTCACATTAATTAAATATAATTTAGCTATAAAAATTATTTAAATTAACTTTTAAAAAACACAAAACGACAATTAAAATTGTACCGCGTAAGTATCAACATAGCCTTTTATTTTAATTAAAAAATAAGCGATCATTTTCATATTAATTTATTTTTAAAAATTTGTCCTTTATTTATATATAATAACCCTAAAAAGTCTTTTGAAGGAATTCAATTTTCTATGGTATCATTAATTAGATAATAGTCAAATATTTAACTTTGTTTTAATAGGTACTTCACCAGTGGACCAAAATTTGTGATAAAAACAGAGTCAATCATACATATTTAAAAAAAAATATGGACTAATTAATACACATGAAAAATCAAAGATAATTCTGAATTTCAATTTCGTGCCATATAATTTTTTTTTTAAAAAAGGATATATGTCTTTCAAAAATAATGAATATCAAATCCTCACCAATGCACCCACAATTTGAGCTCAGACAGAGTCGGTCACACATGTTTCAGAAAAATCATGGACTAATACATACGAAAAATTAATACAATTATAAATTTCAATTTCGTAATTTCAAAAAAGTGATATCTGATATTTAAAAGTAATAAATATCATTAACAGACCGTCACCCATGGACACAATTTGAGCTCAAAACGACTCAGTCACACAAATTTTGATGAATTTATGAAGTAATGCACACAAAAATCGAGAAAAAACTAAAATCTTATTTCATGACACATAAACTCCAAAATGCATGTCTTTCAAAAATAATGCTATTAATAAGTAATTACCATAGGATCTATAAAATTCAAGTCAAATAGAATCAATCACATATTTTAAAAAATTCATAAAATAATACATATAACAATTCATATAATTCTGAATTCTATAAATACTTATTCATATTAGATATTTATATTAAAACAACTTAATATACAATGATTAGGTAATTCGTTTTTGAGAAAATTTTAGAAATAACAAACATAATAGATAGTATTGATAATTGCGCTCCATAGCTCCGTTTTCTATAGAGGTTGCGGTTTGTATATTTATTTCCGTTTTTATATTTCGCTTGCGAGAATATATAAATAATGTAAGTATATAGACATTCTGTATTTATACATTTAGGATTTTTCAGAACTTCGTTCATATATTTCGCTTGTCAATATACAAACAAGGTAATTTATAATGATTTTTTCATAAATCGTATATAAATAGCTACGGTAAACATAAACAAAATACTGAATTTATATGATTACACACCGAATTATGCAAATTCTGAATTTATAAAAATCAGGCGAATAACAAGAATTGGAAAAACTATAGCCACAAATTACTAGTTTCTCAAACTGTAGCTATAATCTTAATATAGGCTAAATATTTGTTATTTTATACAATTTCCCCTTTCGTTTTTGGTAATTATATTAATATAAAGATTACCTACACCTTTATTTGGGCTTTTTTGTTATGAAATCTTCTTGCTTAACTATTTAAGCCCATTGGACCATCTTGGTCCAATATTCACAATCAAAAAAATAAATGTTAGATGAGTTTTCACAACTTGAACATAGGGAACAAACTTGAGTACCCACTGGAATATGTAGCCTCATGTGATAATCCGCCACATTCTAAAGATTCGTAAATAAGTTATCAAATACAATATGATATACTTAGTAGAAGTCTAAGTCCGTGACACTAAAAAGTCTGTCCTCGGTTAACAACCTTCTTTGCATAGCAAACCAAATAATAAAGTTGTGCTTAGATTGGGGAGGTGCTCCTCATATAACCTTTTTTTATGCTTATCCTTTTAAATTGTTGAGATATGACAAGTATTATGTAACGATAGAAAACAGTATAAATTCAGATATTATATTCATCAAAATAATACAGTAAAATAAAAGTACGATGTAATAATATAACAACCATCCATTTGACAAGGTGTAAGTAGGTAGAGAGACATATATAATCAGATATCTTAATAACAATCATTTTCTATAGATTTACCTATAAATAGCCTAATTTCTTTAAATTTCAATTTTCATATAATATTATATTATTCTTTATAATAACATTTAGTTATCACAATTAAAAAGTATCAGAAGAAACGACTATATAATCTAAAAGTTTGATTGTTAGTAGCTTGAATAGATGGTACTCAAAAACTAAATTTCATTTAAAATGACTTGAAACGAAGTTGACCCAATTAACACGAATCGTTTAAACCAAAAAAAAGCATGATAGGGCTATGTCAAGTTGCCCAATAGAAACAAAATGAAGAAAGGTCATTACTCAATAGAAACCATATCTCTTTAGTAACAAAGATAATTGAGTCACAAAAATATGAGTGATGGTCATTAATCTCACCCATACCCCCTTTATATCAACCTATCTATACAAATATCATCCACGTGGCAACGTCTCATTAACTACTTATCTAATACCCCACCCCCACCCCCATAGACCCCATGCCCCAAAAAAGTTAGAGGCTAAAACTAACTCAACTATAGCAACAACTTTGAGATAAAAATTTTATATTTGTTCATTGTTTGATATTTTGCCCTCTCCATTCTCAAAATTCTTAATTTTAAACACACAAAATGGAGACTGGTGTTACATGTTGTGCAAGAGTAACATCTCTTCTCCCAAATGTTTCATCTCAACAATACTCAACTTCAATTGCAACTTCAAGATCCATTTCCCCTTCATTCAACTCAAGGGTATGTCTTAATTGATTTCCATTTGATTTTTCTTCATTTTTCTATACTAATTAAATAAATTTAGGACACTATCATAAATTTCAAAAATATCTTGGATATAATGAACTTGTACATCTAAACAAAGCAAGTATAGATGAGCTATAAGCAACGGTAGAGCTATGAGTCTTGTCGCACTATAAGAAAAATGTGAATTACATGGAATTTTTCTAGGAATTAGTATGCAAATGAAAATTTGCAGGAAAATAAGTTTCATACGAATTTTCATACTAATCTCCGGTAAAATTACCATTTAATTCAAAGTTTATTGTGGTCTATGGATTTGGCATAGCCTAGTAGCTTTGACTTAGACCTTAATCTACTTATTATTATATGTATAAATAATTTATTAAGGACTCTTTCCAAGGACTTAGAATTCATAACTTTAAAATTCTGAATTCGCTTCTGTCTTTTTAAGTATGACATGAGATTCTTGCAGAGTTTGAAATCAAGCTCATTATTTGGGGAATCATTGCGCGTTGCGCCTAAATCATCACTAAAGGTGTCTAGGACAAAAAATTCTTCTTTGGTGACAAAATGTGAGATTGGTGATAGCTTGGTAAGTTTGATCATGTTTGTTGACTAATCTTATTTAATGTAATTGTTATACAAGAAATTAATGAGAATGACTTGTTATAATTGGTGTATTTTATAGGAAGAATTTCTTTCAAAATCAACCTCAGATAAGGGGTTAATCAGGTTAATGATGTGTATGGGAGAAGCATTGAGAACAATTGCCTTCAAAGTCAGAACAGCTTCTTGTGGAGGAACAGCTTGTGTCAATTCTTTTGGTGATGAACAGCTTGCTGTCGATATGCTTGCCGATAAGCTTCTCTTTGAGGTACAAAACTATACACTGGCGGAGCCAGGATTTTATTTTTCTTATAAAAAAAATGCATGTATACACATTCGCAACGTGTGAGCAAAAACAAGTTTTTGGACCACCTTTGATATTATACTTGATGTCAAGGGGATTCAACCGTTTAAATATGTACTAAACGATTTGTTTTTACTTTACTTATAAAGTATAATTTATCGATGAAGGGATTTCAATCAAATCACCTTTAGTACATATTGCTCCACCCTATTTGACAAGAAGAGGCTTATGCCTATTGCTACTTGATAAACTGATTCTCTACAATGTGCGTTACTCTCTCCGTTTCAATTTGTTTGTCTTATTTTCCTTTCTACTTTTTAGTCCGTTTTAAAAGAAGAACGTCTCTTCTCTTTTTTGACAACTTTGTACTTCTAACTTTTCACCTGACATGTTTAAAATCACTGGATTAAAGGGGACATTTTGGTACATTTAACGTATTTTTAGTTTAAAATCACAATATTCAAAAATTTTCTTTACTTAAACTTCGTGTCAGGTCAAAACCAGACAAACGAATTGAAACAGTGGATGTAATTCTTATCTAAGTTTGACAAAAACTTGTTCTTTTGATTGTTGATGTGTAGGCCTTGACATATTCACACTTTTGCAAATATGCTTGTTCTGAGGAAGTTCCTGAGCTCCAAGACATGGGGGGCCCTGCTGAAGGTTAGCAGATTATGTAATTCGGAACAACTTACGACTTGTTTGATTATACACTAGAATTTTTTGAAAACGTCAACTTTTTTTTTCAAGTAAAATGCATGTCTAAACAAAATGTCAACTTTGAAATACCATTTTTCGACTTTTTAACTTCAAGTACTACTTTGAAGAAACATAATAGTATTGAAGACACTGATGAGTTCTATTTGTATCAAACAGGAGGATTTAGTGTTGCTTTTGATCCACTTGATGGTTCTAGTATTGTGGACACGAACTTTACAGTTGGAACCATCTTTGGTGTATGGCCCGGGGATAAGTTAACCGGGATCACAGGAAGAGAGCAAGTTGCAGCAGCTATGGGAATATTTGGACCGCGAACTACATACGTTCTTGCTCTTAAAGATGTTCCCGGGACCCATGAATTCCTCCTCCTTGACGAAGGTTTGACATACATCGATTTGTAATAGTTTAGACTTTTCTTGCTACGAGTTGTCTCAATATCGATGCTTGTTTATGTTCATAGGAAAATGGCAACATGTTAAGGATACAACAGAAATCGGAGAAGGAAAGATGTTCTCCCCTGGAAATTTAAGAGCCACATTTGACAATCCTGATTACGCCAAGGTTTACTATCATTTCTCGTATTTTTGTCTTCAATTTCTTATATCTGTACTCGAATGTGTGTTTGTACAAATTGCATTTCTTACTAAAATGAAATTCCGCGTTCTGACTCTTGATTCTTGATAACAGCTGATCGAATACTATGTGAAGGAGAAATACACCTTGAGATACACCGGAGGAATGGTGCCTGATGTAAACCAGGTATGTGTCATCTCTTTTCTCATTTTTTACTCGTTTTGCAAATATGTGATCAGGAGGCAGAGGCAGAGTGGTGCAACGGGGCGTTGAACATTATACTAAATGATTCTTTTTACATATATATGTATAAGTTGTTGAATTCCCTTCTCGATTTCTGACAGATAATTGTAAAGGAGAAAGGTATATTCACAAACGTGACATCTCCAACAGCTAAGGCGAAACTTAGATTGCTGTTTGAAGTGGCACCGTTAGGATTCTTGATCGAAAAAGCTGGAGGTTACAGCAGCGATGGGAAACAATCCGTCCTTGATAAGGTGATCGTTAATCTTGATGACCGGACTCAAGTTGCTTATGGTTCCAAGAATGAGATCATTCGATTTGAAGAAACACTCTACGGTTCATCAAGGCTTAAGGCTGGTGCACCAGTTGGTGCTGCTGTTTGAGGCTTGAGAATGCAGCAGCCCTCTCGTAAATCGTAATGTTTGTTTGTGTTTCTTTTCGCGCTTTCTTTCTAGAGCATCGCGAAAATGCTGTTCCATCAGGTTGTAAAAGGGAGATAGGTTAAAGACAACAAGGTCTTGTTAAAGAAATGGGAATTGGAACATTTTTTTTTGTATATTGTTGTTTCTATTAACTGGTGTTCAATATGCTGGATTTCAGATATAAAAGGTTAAAAAAAAGACAAATAATTTGTAGTATTATGTAAGATAAATTTATGTATTACAACTTGTCTGATTATTGCTTCATTACTATTCTAATATATAAAGTTCGATTTCAATCATAAAGTTGTTTCCACATGCCTATATGTTCGCGGTTTTGTGCACCCTAGAAATCATAAAATTGTCTCCGTATGACGTATAAGTTCTTGGTTTCAATCATAAAGTTGTCTCCCCACGACCTATAAAAGTTCATTGATTTGTGGGGCGCGAAAATCATAAAATTGCCTATGTGTGACGTATAAGTTCACGGTTTCAATCATAAAGTCGTCTCTACATAACCTATAAGAGTTCACGGTCTTGTGAGCATCGGAAATCATAAAATTGTCTTTGGTTTCGAGTTTAGACTAAAGAAAGGGTATAATATCATCACGCCAGCTAGGGGTCAATGACCCACAAGGTCACGATTTTGTGGGCCTCGAAAATCATAAAATTGTTTCTGTGTGACGTATAAGTTTACGGTTTCGAGTTTAGAATAAAAAAGGATATATTATAATCGCGCCAGGTAGGGATCGGTGGCCTATATGTTCACCGTTTTTTGGTCCTAGGAAATGATAAAGTTTTGTCGGTGTGACGTATAAGCTCACAGATTTTTGGTCTTAAAAGAAAAAGTTGTATATGAACCGCGCCAGGTAGGGGTCGAACCTACGACTTTCTGCTTAGGAAACAGACGCTCTATCCACTGAGCTACAGGCGCTTGTGGTGTATTTGTTTATTGCATATTGTAATTAACTACTATATAATTTAAAATGAAAATTAGATTTTCATACAGACGTTGATATGAATATTTCTCGTTTATAATTTAGTTAAATATAATACACTCTCCGTCCATTTTAATTGTCATATATTATTAACTACACTCCTTAAACATAACAAATAAAATGATAATTTTATTACATTAACTTTAGATATTAGAAATCACCGGTATTCTAAATCAATATACATATTTTATGTTTTTTTTTTATAAATTCGGTCTAGAGCGATTTCATTAAATAATTTTGTGCTAAAACACATGAATTACATATTGCTCACCCTAATTCTTACGGAGAGTCTCGTAAAGTTTTCTCAAAAAATCATTCGAATATAATTTCATCAAATATTCATGAGCTAATACACACAAAAAATTTTAAAAATCGCTTAAGTCTTTTAAAATAACTCCTAAATGCCACAAATTTCGCAGATCATGATCAAGCTATACGTACTGCTCCCTCATTCCTTAGGGAGGAACTCGTAAGTTTTTTGAAAAAAAATCGTTCGAAAGTCATTTAACCAAATATTCATAGGTTAACACATAAAATTGCCTAATACCTATAAAATGATTTATAAATTCCCAAAAATATCGCAGATAATGATAAGGCTATATGTACTTCTCTGAAAACTCCCTACGGATGGTTTCGTAAATTTTTTTCAAAAACATTGTATGGAAGTTGTTTTACCAAATATTCATAGGTTAACACAAAGGAAAATCGAAAAATCAATTAATTCCTATAAGATGATTCTTAAATACCCAAAAATATTGCGGATCATGGTGAGGTTATACTATTGCTCCCTTACTACTTACGGAGAGTCTCGTAAAAAATCGCCCTCAAATCATTTCACCAAATATTCATGGGCTAATACACACGAAAATTGAAAAATCGTTTAATTTTTATATATAAAATAACTCCTAAATGCCCAAAACTGTCGCCGATCACGATGACATTGTAGATACTTCTCCCCTGACTCCTTACGGAGGGTCTCGTAAGGTTTTTCCAAAATAATTTTTCAGACGATATTTCACCATATATTTATGGGCTAACATACACAAGAAATTGAAAAAATTGACTCTTGTATGTCAAAAAATACAGCGGATCATGGTGAGGTTATACGTACTTTTTCATCAATTCATATTGGAGTGTTTCATAACTTTTTTTTAAAAAAAAATGCACGAAAGCCCTTTCACCATATATTCATAGGCTAACATACACGAAAAATTTACAAAAATCAACTAATTTCTACATAATGACTCCTAAATACCCAAAAATGTCATAGATCATGGTGAGCCTATACGCAGTTCTCCCAACTTCTTAAAGAGAGTCTCGAAAAAAAAATCAAAAAAAGTTTGCCAATAAGTTATTTCACCAAATAGTCATGGGCTAACACATACAAAATTAAAAAAAACACCTAATTCCTACAAAATATCCAAAAATGCCTGAGATTATGATGAGGCTATATGTACTACTCCCCCAATTCCTTATGAAGAATCTCGTAAAGTTTGTTCTAAAATAATAAATAATTATAAAACAGATATAAAATGATAAATTATATATATATATATATATATATATATATATATATATATAGAACT